ATCCGAACCCTCCAGCAGAAGCCGACGTCGAGATCGGTTGTAGCAACCCATCAACTTCTGGATGTTGGTGCGGAAGAAGCCGATTGACAAAATATAGAAAGTCAGAGTAGAAGAATTGGCGCGATAAATGTTTTTGGAGAGTGCGAAATAAACACAGGGCAGTGTTTCAGCAGCGACAACCCTCCTTATTGAGAATACTAATATCCTTCACGAAGGTGAAGAGATCACAATTCTTTCAGTAGTCTACTGGAAAGTCTTAAGGTATTGGGCGTGGATATCCAAACCTCTCTTATCGAGAAGCTACCCCCAATATCCCTTAAAAAATGACCATAGCATGTCTTCAGTCATGCCTTTGTTGAGAGATGAGTTAATCATCTGAAAGAATATTGCTTTCAGATGAATCTTCTTTATGAAGAAGACCATTCCGTTTTAATCGTGTTTCCTAACGATTTCAGGGAACACAGGGTCAGAAGGGTAATCCCCTTTTCCTGAGGAATTAGTGTCATCAATGGATGACAATCTCAACACAGGGAGAATGAGCGTTTACAACATTAACAATTCTAGAGATGTAAATCCCCTTTCATGAAGTTCATATAGAGATCTCTTCTACTTTCCTTGTAAAGAAAGCATAGATCTCAAAGCTTAACGGTAACGCGTAATGATCACCTGCATCCTTGATGAATCAGAGATATCAACGAAGGAATCACTTCTAGCTTGTTGGTATGCTTCGCCCTTAGTGTGAGAAGGGGAATGACTACGGTTCGACTCCCACATGTCAAGACCAAGAGATAACCCTATGTCTTGAAAGCACTTTCAAGACAACTACTTCTGATCTTCTTTAAGAAGATTATCTCTGTTATTTACGTCCCTTACCAGTTTCAGGGGATGTAATGAGTTTACAGATCACTATCAGTTATCTCAAGGTCAGAGTCATCAATTGATGATGACTCTATTGATTGTGGGGAGAAAGAAGATAATATTTATTTATTTTATTATCTTATTGTTATGTTCAACAGTAGTTATTACCTTCTTCAATATTTATTATTATTATTATCATTATTCTTAATTTTCTATGAATATATGTCTCGTTTTTACAGACTGTAACACTCGGGACTTGATCCCGACTCTTTACACCCAAACGGTTTATAGAACTTAAAAGTGAGAGCTTAAGTGCTAGAACCGGATAGAGTGCACGCTTACACATATTGCTGCGAAGTAATATGTTGTGCAAGTTAAGCGATTCGTCGCAACAATTACATGTTGCAATCACGAAGTGCTTATAGAATGAAGTGATCCTTTATTCTATATTCACTCCATTCCGATAGATCTAAGTCTTTCTCAGTTCTGTCGAGGTTTCCATTGAAACATCTTCAGCTTAAAGAGGTTTGTAACAGCTCTATTTAAATGAAGATTAACCAGTGTCTTGAGATGTTGTGTATGTGTTGTACTCTATAGTTCTCAATGACGCAAACAATCATCGTGCTAATTTGATAACTATTGAATTAGAAACACGCCCATATGCAACAGGCAGAAGTTTCAGTTAGTTTGGAGGAATTATCCAGGGACCCCTTCGCAGTCGCTGGGTTAATTCACGCAACGTTTGCAAAGCGACGACAAGTGCGAAAAAGGAAAGCGGTGAGGGATACGAAGGAAATTCGAGAAGAGAACCTCCAACCAAGAAGAAGAGATTCTTGGGCACTGGAAATCTTAACAAGTTCTTCCGACAGACCATGTGGAACGTGGCAAGTACATTACTTCTCGAAAAAACATGATTTCGTCCCTGAATTTGCGATGCTGCATGAGATTGCCGCTAAGAATGTCTGCTAGCCTGAGTACAACAAAAAATATCTCTTTTGGCTCGCAATCGAACCACCGCCAATTTGGGATGTCCATGATTTTTTTGACCGCCACTTCTTTCAAAGCCTTTCAATAGTCTCCGTAACGCGCTTCAACCTCCATCAGGTTTCACAACAAACTCAAAGGTACTGTAGGATGAAGACATATTTCTGGAGTTTGGCTTTGTTAGCCCAAGATGTGTTAAGTGCTGCAAAGCCATCATTGAAAAATGGGGGAATGCAGGACTGAAATCAACAGATCATGAGCTTGGATTTGAAGCAACCCACCCCGAAATTTGTTTTCCCGTAGTGTGAGAGAACGAACAGTGCAGCGTATTGAGTGAGTGCAGGCCAGAGCGAGAGAACGAAGAGTGTAAGTGAGCGGTATTGAGGGAGAGAAACGCTGCTGCCAAGAGGCTTCACGAAGTTCATAACATGAAGATGTTCATTACACTGTCTTTCACTCACTGGCCTACACTCACTCAATACGAGATTCGAAGCTGGAGCTGTCATAAAGATCTGAAGTGGTTACAGTTTGACATGGGTGCAGAGAAGTTAGATGAAATTTGTTCTTATATGCATTCACCCCTGAATGTACCAAAGGAAAAACACATGTGCTGCTTGATTTATTTATTCCTGACATTATCTATATTATGCCTACATGCAACTAATGAAGTCACAGAGGCTTGATGTGCTTCGATGGCTCTCATCGTTAAAGTTTTAGGTGCTGGATGTCATGTTGGGAAATTCTTGTAACGTCATCCACATCAATGGAACGAATATTTCTTGTGGATTGTGGGATCCAAACCACAAAGAAGGGATGGGAACGCTTCCCGGATCTTTCTATCCCTCTTTAGCCCTCGTAGGACAAACCCAAAGATTGACATGTTTGGGACTCGACGAGGGACACACAGAAAAGAGAGTCCCCGAAGGCAGCCCGACGAAACGTCGACGTTTGAGTTATGAGGGACAAACAATTCCAAACGAATTTCAAGACATCAAAACAAATTCCGAGTGTGAGATTGACGCAGTGCTGATAACGCATTTCCATCTAGATCATATTGGAGCACTTCCTTAATTTGACCTGAGTTCTTGGTTATTCTGGTCCTATTTTTATGACTCAGCCAACCCAGTGATTCAGCTCGTCTTATCCTTAACGATTGTTGGGGAGCAAAGGGGACTCGTCGATTTTATGACGATGATGCTGATAGTGACAACCAATCTGAACACTCTCCCGCTTCCCTGTCACCCAATCAAAACCCCCCATACTTGCAATCAAGTCATCCATCTTCAAAGCCGCCAATATTCATCGACAATCAACTCTTATAATACACGATCCCTTCGATGAAGTTCAACTTCCTCCTCAAGCTGTTGAATCTTGTCTTTCACGCGTCACCCCCCCAATTTCTTTGGATTCGCCTGTTCGTCTTGGTTCAACGGAAGTCATCGTCACCGCTATTCCAGCTGGTCATGTTGGTTTGGTGCTGTCATGTTTCTAATTCTCGAAGTAATCTACTGGATTATCTGTCATCTATACTGGTGATTACACAATTGGGAATGAGCGCTTCTTCAATCCAGCAAGAGTAGGACCGTCCTCATAATTATCACTAGAGTCGTTTCTATCTTTCGATCTCACATTCCCTCTAATCACTCTTTTCTCACATTCCCATTTCTTTTTATCTCTCACGGTTTTGTATTCAACACTTATTTTAGATTGCTAGTCTTCGACCAACAGTTCATCATCAGTGAATCCACGTACGGAGGACAAGTTCGAGATTCAAAAAAATCAACAGAACAGGGAACTTTGCTGCGTTGCCGAGGATGCAGTCAGAAGGGGGGGGAAGGTTCTAATTCCCGTTGGAGGAATCGGGAAAGCTCAAGAAATTGCTGCACTCCTCAATAGTCACTGGGAGCGCTTTAGCGTCAATAATGTCCCAATTATTATCAATGCCGGAATGATTGACAGCGGAATGCAAGTATTGAAGTCTTGTAAGGCCGCCGTATTATTGGAGTCGTATTGATTGGAATGAATTACATCATGTTAAAGTGGCGGATGTTCACTCTGTTTTGACGCATTACGACTCTTCACAGCCTGTCGTGTTCCTCGCTCCTCCCAAAACTTTGGATTCTGTGTGCTTCATTTCAAATATTCAAATCTTGGGCACAAGATCCCAAAAATTTGATTCTTCTTCCGTCATACTCAGTTTCCTGGAACAGTTGCATATCAAGTTCTCAATGGGCGGCGGCAAATTCGAACACGTCCTCTAAAAACGAGAACAAAAGGTGAATCCGAAATAATTGACATGAAAGCGTCTTTCAGATATTTCTCAATTGCGTCTCATTCTGATGCGATTGGACTTCAAGGATTTTTAAAATATTCGGCACCCCCTTTTTTCAATTTTGGTGCACGGGGAAATCAATGGAGTAAAGCAGCTGAGCGCTAATCTGAGGGAGGTACTCTCGTCGTCCTGTTCATTCGCCAAAAAATGACGAGATTATTATTATTCAACTTCCCGGAATTCGAGCCATCCCAGCATCGATCGAGTTACTCTATAATCAGTATTATGCACGAATGCTGCAAACAAAAAAAATCAAGAAGGCCAAGAAAGAATTACAGTCCATAAGTGATGACACTGAATTAAGAACGAATCTGACGAGGCCGTTAAGGACTGTGTTGCAACGGAGTTTTGAGACAGCTACCAATTGGATAAACCAACAGGAAATGAGAACGGGCTCGACCAGGAAACTGTGCGTCAAGCGTGTCCTGTGAATTTTCGAAGAACTCATTGAAATTTGGTGCCCCCGAATTGAAGCCGTCATTGGATGCTCTCGTTCTAACTGGCTGCGATAGTGAATCTGTTTGTCGCTCGATTACGGACGATTTAGAGACCGGTAATTTAGAGAACACCGGGCCTCTCAAATGCGCAAAGAATTTGAAACCTGGTAAAGCAATTGTGAAGGACAGGAAAAAAAGAATCGCGAAGAAGAAAGCTCGAAGACGAGGAAGCCAAACTGGGAAGAGAGCAAATTTTAATTTTTCTTGCACGCCATTGGCTGTTGCTCCTGTTCCAATGCGTCCTGGGCCTCTGAATGATGAAGTAGAAGAAATAGAAGACGGGGAAATTGGATAGCTCTTAATTATTGAGGAACACATTTGAAATAAGATGAGCCGTGAGCGACTCGAACGCCCAGCCTTCTGATCTGGAGTCAGACGCGCTACCATTGCGCCCAACGGCCCTGATAAAATGAAAAGGCTTTTCTAGCGAAGGGTTAGAAACTAATATTAAAACAAATTCAAAACAATACAATTTACACTGAGTGAGATCAACGGAACGATTTTCAGGCTGATGATCGTAGTTTCATGCAGCAAGAACAATTCCGGAAATTGCCGACGAATCCAGTGAATAAGTGGTGGCTTCATAAAGTGAGCGTGAAAGTCCCGAAAGGTGTCGGGGTTTATTCATATCTTGGATTTGATCACTCAGATGTTCTTCTCTCACTAAAAGGAGGTCTCACTATGCAAGAATGATCGAATACGGTGAAGGTTCGGTTTGCTCAGAGGCTGTGGCCTCAGAATTGTGCATTTGAAACACTAGTGAAGATAAGGATTACGCAAACAGCGAAAATGCAGACCAACACTGACCCAGACGTCAAGACACAGAAAAATGCCAGAACAAAAAGGTCAGACGACGCGTGGTTCCGAGGAGGCCGAGCCCTTGCATTTCATCACGCCTGTCCATTTCGTCATCACACCTCTCCATTTCCTGACTACGCCTGTCCTCTTCCTGCATACGCCCTCTCCCACTTCCCGAATATGGCTCCATGAGGGAGTGGGAAGAAGAGGTGTGGGATTTCGAAGGGAAAGAAGAGGTCTTGCCTTCCGAAGGGAAAGAAGAGGTCTCGCCTTCCGAAGGGGTCGTGGAACTTGTCTTGCTTTTGTAATGGATCTTGTTGCTGGAGCGTTGTCTGAAGAAGGTGGACCGTCTCCAGGAGAATTAGAGTCGGCACCGCCAGCTCAACGAGCCCTTGAGGGAATTGTGGCAGCATGACTGCTTGGAAATACGGAAGCTTGGACATCTTTGAATTGCTCAGTGGAATGAGCCTGATCCATGGTCTGTTAAAGGCAGGCTTCGCTGCCTTGGTTCGAGTTGGGGAACGGCGGTTTGTTTAAAAAACATTCAGACAGGTTTTGGGACGACCCATGGAACAGAAAACTGTGAGGAAAACAGATCAACAGACGACAAAACACAGTAGAGCAGGCTAACACACAAGTCGCACGCGGAGTCGACCTACGCGACTAGACACTTTTAGCAGGCGCGAGAATTGTTCCAATCCATGCACCGGACATGCACTTGACATGCACTTGACATGCACTTGACATGCACTTGACATGCACTTGACATGCACTTGAACATGGCGTATAAGAGGATTAATGTGTTGTGTGAATTCATGATCAGCACCGCACAAATCGCGGGAACGAGAGCCGTCTCTATCGTCTCGCCCCCCTAGCGCCCAGCCAATGAATGGCGGTGACATGGTTGGTGCTCAATAGAGTCTGACTCGCTTTCTCAGCTCGCTCCCAGCGGCGTTGCATCTTCAGCAAAATCAAGTACTCCAGTGTTCTGGTTACTGACAATCTAGTCTCCAGGATTCCTGATATACTAACTGGCCTTACCGCGGTACACACAGTACCGGAGTGTTTTCTACTGGCGAGTTTTCTAGTAACGAGTTTTCTACTGGCGAGTTTTCAGTGATCATCTATGAAGCTGTCAACGGATTTTTCGGTGACCCACTTCTTCAAGGGCTTTTTCAAATTGAGTCCAGTTGATTTTTCTTCCTCCTCTTGGTTTAGAAAATCTGAAGCATTTAAACATGAAAATTTCCCCTAGAACCGGTGTAGGGTTCGCTTTGGACTGTATGTAGCGCTTTAATATTTGTCTTTTTCTAAAATGCACAGTGATGAAACTCGAATAAGGATTAAAAAACGACATTTGGATGATGAATAGAATCTCATTGAGGTTTTTCAGACATCAAATCAGCGTCTGTGGATATCGTCCCAATTATCTTCGTATTCCTGGTTACCAGGAACAACGAATGAAGAAGACCCTCGATATTTTTCTGAATGTTGCCCCATGCGAGTTCGTCTCTGAGTCCCCTTCTTCATGCACCATTGAGACCTTTTTGCTCTTCTACTGATTTAATGTGAATATTGCAATGTTGATTGCCAGCACTGAAGAGCATCCAATTCCAAATCGTGGTGGATTCCGTTGTTATGTTTTCATGATACTATTTAAGGGTAAGAAGCCCATATGTTGACGAATTCATATAAATTCGATGGAGTAAGGAGATTGGGAAGGAGTACTCAGGGGTAGGCGCTCGTGATGATAGAAGTAATTTGAAGGTTAATTCGGTCTGAATGAATCATTCAATTGTCTTCCTTCGATTTTCTTCCTTCGATTTTCTTCCTTCGAATCTCTTCATCGCGATACGCCCGGCGACGTTAGATTTGAGAATGCTTGTTGTGGGTCAATGTGATTTCCGTATCCCATAAGACAAACTGGCGAATACTGAATGCCCACCGCAGTACAAGCCCTAGAAAAGCATGCAGAAATATAGGATGAACAGCTCATGATTTTCTCAATTTTGTTTTCTTTTTTTTGCTGTCTTTCGCGGGATTTCTATCTGCCACGTATTACTCGTTGCTGCAGTCGTGCCAATCGCCGATTGCGTTGTTTAGGAGTCTTTCGAACCACTGTCTGATGCACACTTTTTCTTTTGTTTTGGGTTTTTGCTTTGGGGATGACCAGACCATATTTACCTTTTTCGGGCTCATGCCAGCTCGCAGAATATATTCAGTGGAACTTACAACTTGGCAACTGAGTAGCTTAGAAGAGACAGAAATCGGTTAGAAATTAAAATAATATTAAAAACAAATTCAATAGCCCACAACATATTATCAGGATTTCTAGCCACCCAACATTTTTTTTGAGCTGTCTGCGTATTTTTGGTCCAGAGAAGCTTTTTCCAATTCTGAAGCTCAGCTGGACCGTTGATGCTGATGGAGGGCGTTCTGAAGCCCTACAGACACAAAGAAGAAAATGCTGTTTCTTTTTCATTAGTTGCTTGCCTGTAAACCATTGATAGAATTGCGCATCGTTGAAGCATGTTATTTGCAACACTTGCAAACGGTTTCGAAGATTTTTTTAGCGCCAGCACGAGGCAAATGATTTGTTGCACACCAGCAAGAATGTCCTACAGAAGAGAGTGACGACTAATGCGCATTATGGGAACGACATGAAGAGATGTCCGTACCGGTGGTAAACGAGACTTCTCAATTCTTCAGTTGTCTCAATTTCGACGCTCTTCGGATTTTGTTTTGCTTTTTTCTTTAAATGACTTTTTATTACGGGCACTGCGGATAATGGATCGTAGTTCCATGAATATAAAATTCCTCTAATTTGTGAAAATGGAATCTGATGTACCGCTTGATCTGCGAAAAATAAAATGGGATGAGATCAAAAAATCTTTCTAGATCCACTGACGTCATTCGCATTCGCTAGATGAAGTTTATTCAGTTCATATCGATAGTGAAGCAGTCAGCAGTGAAGCCATAGGAGCGCTTATCGTTATCATTTAGAAGCATCTGTACGGAAATTGTCTGTCAATTACTAAACTGTCTGTCAATTACTAAACTGTCTGTCAATTACTAAACTGTCTGTCAATTACTAAACTGTCTGTCAATTACTAAACTGTCTGTCAATTACTAAACTGTCTGTCAATTACTAAACTGTCTGTCAATTACTAAACTGTCTGTCAATTACTAAACTGTCTGTCAATTACTAAACTGTCTGTCAATTACTAAACTGTCTGTCAATTACTAAACTGTCTGTCAATTACTAAACTGTCTGTCAATTACTAAACTGTCTGTCAATTACTAAACTGTCTGTCAATTACTAAACTGTCTGTCAATTACTAAACTGTCTGTCAATTACTAAACTGTCTGTCAATTACTAAACTGTCTGTCAATTACTAAACTGTCTGTCAATTACTAAACTGTCTGTCAATTACTAAACTGTCTGTCAATTACTAAACTGTCTGTCAATTACTAAACTGTCTGTCAATTACTAAACTGTCTGTCAATTACTAAACTGTCTGTCAATTACTAAACTGTCTGTCAATTACTAAACTGTCTGTCAATTACTAAACTGTCTGTCAATTACTAAACTGTCTGTCAATTACTAAACTGTCTGTCAATTACTAAACTGTCTGTCAATTACTAAACTGTCTGTCAATTACTAAACTGTCTGTCAATTACTAAACTGTCTGTCAATTACTAAACTGTCTGTCAATTACTAAACTGTCTGTCAATTACTAAACTGTCTGTCAATTACTAAACTGTCTGTCAATTACTAAACTGTCTGTCAATTACTAAACTGTCTGTCAATTACTAAACTGTCTGTCAATTACTAAACTGTCTGTCAATTACTAAACTGTCTGTCAATTACTAAACTGTCTGTCAATTACTAAACTGTCTGTCAATTACTAAACTGTCTGTCAATTACTAAGCTGTCTGTCAATTACTAAACTGTCTGTCAATTACTAAACTCTCTGTCAATTACTAAACTGTCTGTCAATTACTAAACTGTCTGTCAATTACTAAACTCTCTGTCAATTACTAAACTGTCTGTCAATTACTAAACTCTCTGTCAATTACTAAACTGTCTGTCAATTACTAAACTCTCTGTCAATTACTAAACTGTCTGTCAATTACTAAACTGTCTGTCAATTACTAAACTGTCTGTCAATTACTAAACTGTCTGTCAATTACTAAACTGTCTGTCAATTACTAAACTGTCTGTCAATTACTAAACTGTCTGTCAATTACTAAATTGTCTGTCAATTACTAAACTGTCTGTCAATTACTAAACTCTCTGTCAATTACTAAACTGTCTGTCAATTACTAAACTGTCTGTCAATTACTAAACTCTCTGTCAATTACTAAACTCTCTGTCAATTACTAAACTGTCTGTCAATTACTAAACTGTCTGTCAATTACTAAACTGTCTGTCAATTACTAAACTGTCTGTCAATTACTAAACTGTCTGTCAATTACTAAACTGTCTGTCAATTACTAAACTGTCTGTCAATTACTAAATTGTCTGTCAATGATCTTACTCGCCAAACCAGAAGGGAGAGAAAATCTTCGTCGTTGAATTGGAAGAGAACCGCTTTGACTTG